TTGCCGTTATATGAAAGTAGGGGCGTGCAAAAAGTGTTTACTTTAGTTAATTCCATTATGTGAAAAAGTAACTGTAGGTAGGTAAATGCGATAGTCTTTAACATATCCTGGAAAATCCTTTTGAGGTCTCTCCAATTGGACGATATTGCTTTGCATTCAGCTTGAACGAAAAAAGTCACTCCCTGGCATACTTTTCTGTAATCCGGTTCTTTCATTTAAAGGTTATTTAGACAACTGAAGAGAAATTTTTTTTAGAGAAAAACTGGAGGTCCACTTAAGGTTTTCGATATAACTTTGGTTAATGTTACTCGATCGGTACGTAATAATTACGAGACTTGCTATTACTGATTTATGATAATAATATGATGAAAATCATTCAGATTATAAACAAATTATTTTAAAAAAAAATTTAACCAAATTTTTTGTCATTTTCCAATATTTGCAATTTTTATATTGTATGCATAAACATAAGTAAACTAATTAGTGTTTCTAGAAGTTGTGCCTGTTCAGTGCTTCCATACTCATTTGCATAAACAACATTTTTCCACGATGATGGAAAATAATGGCTTTTCTATTGGAACTACCGAAATTGTTCCTAAATTTGCAAAAATTCGCAAACTATAGCTAATATTAAAAAAAGATTAGAATATTTGGAACCAGCGACCTTAATGCACGCCAGCAATATTAATGATGTTCTTTACATTTTTTGACTATAGACCAGTGCAATTATCAAAGAACAATTAAAATTTTATTAAAAAGAGGTAACTTTGAGATTAACGATAAGCTAAAGGGCTGCGAGAAATGATATTTGACTTTATCTTTTGCGTTAACGGATTCATTATCTAATAATATGCCCCAAACCTTTTTGCTGAACCCAGAATTTTTAACAAGAATTGGTCTTATTCGAAAACAGCTTTAACATTTGATGCAACAAAATCACTGTTCCCTCGTGTTATTATTATTATTGAAAGAACCTTAACAATTTGTTCTAACAAATCGTTTCTTAAAATGTACCTACGAGATGGATTTTTCGTATTGTACATATTGGAAAAATTCATGGAAAATTTGCTAAGTGAAACAAAAAAATTTTAGGAAAAAAGTAGAAAAGTTGCTAAGTCACAAAATTATCTACAAAATTTGTAAATAAGCAGATTTTTTATAATTTTTTTTTTAATAAAGGGTAAATGAAAAACGCGAAACATTGCATTCAAAGTTTTGCAAAATACTTAAAGAAAATGACTTAGGAACGTTTTTTGTGTCTCCTGTACAATTGAAAAAAATGGACTTAGCAACTTTGCACTCTAAGCTAGCGATATATACATATGTACCCTGCAAGAACAGTGACTATCATTTGACAAATCCTTTGAGTGGCAAGACTGATATAGATTTCTGTCACTGGCTACCTACAAGTTTCTATCAAGTTCGAAAGGGCAGTGTGAAAAATCTGATGTAAACATTTGTGTACATGTGATCTTCCATCTTCCTCCAACTTATGGCCTTATTTAATGGTCTCTTTTTAACCAACGCAAAATTTGCAAATGTGTTAGTAGGATAAATGAGAATGTGTTAGTTTCCATCACACAATTCTTGTAGGGTAGGTACTCGTACCCGTCATGCGTCGCTTTATTTCTTTTTTTCCCTTCCCTATGCTACCTTTATCTTCCTTCTCACTCATGTAACGTTTACAGTTTTAAAAATTTCACTCTCCAGTTTTGTGATACCGCCGCCTAAGAAGTTTGACTTAAAAAAAGAAAAGATACGATTCCTCTCCTTTTCCTTGTAGAATAACATATTTCATCGGCAAGAAAATCTACGATATGAAGTTATCAGCCTGCCTGATTTGAGATGGATTTGGCCTAATGCAAAATAATATTTGAGTGAAGTTGCCACATAATATTTTATAGAGAAAATAGAAACTAATTAAATGTATATATTAAAAAACCCGTAGATGTTTGTTTGTATGCCGTTTAGGTGGCGCTGGAGTTGAGACTTCTCTACATTTTTCATTCCTATTCAGAGCATGTATTAGCCACGTAAAAGGAAATATTTTGTTCGAAAATCATCCCAACTAATAAGATAGGATTCATGATATCCAATTACTGTCCAATCCGATTTAAATTCTGAACATATATTAGCCATATAAATATAAATATTTTTATTTTAATTATCCCTAAAGTTGCCCTGGAATCGATATATCCCATAAACTNCAATCCGATTTAAATTCTGAACATATATTAGCCATATAAATATAAATATTTTTATTTTAATTATCCCTAAAGTTGCCCTGGAATCGATATATCCCATAAACTGTATTTAGTCCGCTACGAATTAAATCGAGAACATTTATACATACATATATTATAATATTAATTTTTACCACGCGTTATTTCCCTCAGTGTACTCAATAAGTACTATTGAGGTCAGATTGATTCAAACTCATAACTAGATATTGTTTGAAAAATCATTGGTAATTGCATGGCTCAAATTTTTCATAATTTGCTGTCTTATTAAAGTAATAAAAATATTAAATAATGCTCTTAATGACAAAAATATTGATGTTGTTTAGTTATTCGCTTAACAAGGTTTTTAGAACTAAATTAAGGTGAATCGAATTGAAAATATTTTCTGATATTATATCGAAAGACCAAGCTGTCATCATTTATACTTATCCCTAGCGTTGCCAAACTCTCGAGTAATCTCTTACATCCCTACACAGTGCTAAGCAGTTGTTACCAGGGTTCATATTTGCACACACATGCGCAGCATATCATAACATTTTACGCTCACGAACGTGTGCCGTGCATATAACAAATTAATGTTCACAGCACATGTGTGTGCCGTTTGGTAAAAAGAGCAGGCAAATAATTTTTAGTATGTTTTCTGTCATATAAAAAACAAACAACATATCACTTTTTATTGAATTGTTTTATAAAAAACTAGCGGTACCCTGCCACGCTTTGCTGTGGTATATTCCTGTTACCTTCTTGATAAATGATTAACGAAACAAAGCATACGTTTCATATACACAATATTTTTCGTATTTCTACGTAGNTTGTTATCTTCTTGATAAATGATTAACGAAACAAAGCATACGTTTCATATACACAATATTTTTCGTTTTTCTACGTCGATATCAAGGCTATCTTTTTCGCCGACATGGGAACACGCAACATACATTTGTCCATATGAGAAGCAATCGGCATCTGAATCTAAACCACACCTTTCTAAAGACTGACCTAGAGCTTTATTGATTGTGAACTTAAATTTTCTAAATTAAATTGGTGTTTCGGTCGAAATCATGGGAATTCGAAGGCTGAGAACATCTTCACCTTGGAAAGGCCACGTTAAAATCTTAGCTAAGTTCTTCATCCATTTCTAAACTGCGAGTCGCGTGCCGTTGCAGAGTTTTGGCGAATTAATATTCCGCAACATGATAATTGGCACACCTATTTTCAATTTCAGCATTTGGGATCATTCCGTTGGATAATTAACTGCTTCATCTGTTTCCACAACTGTGTTTAACAACGTATATGTTATTTCCTCACTTTGAATGCTGGATTGAATAGCATTATTGAGTTGATAGACATCCTTAATCTTCGCGGCAAGAATAACTCGTTCCCTGAGCCAATCGTAATTCCAATAATTAATTTGAATATTAAGAAGCATTCTTTCGATCAGCTCTCCTTTCGATGTTTCTAAGTTACAAAAGTTATGAGGCAATAAAATTCGTCCTGATCTCTCATCGACTCCCAATAGCTAGTAATTGTCGCGAGAATACCTCGGCTGATAGATCGTTCTGTAACTGGACACACATATTCGTAGTCAACTGCAATCTATGTTCGTGTTGCCACAATGTTGAATATTTCAGGCAAGCATTTATCTCGTCTGCTTGTGGCGATAGAGAAATTACAGGAAAGGTTTGCGTAAAATCTACTGCGAGCAATGCATTCCCAAGTGATTGATAGTGATGTCCTGAATTGTCGGTACCCAATACTTGAGCAAAATTTCGGTACCCAATATTTTCCTTTCGGTACCCGATACCGATTCGATACATTCGTCGTTATAATATACATGGGTGAAAATTTCTCTACTGGACTTCGGATTTCAGTCAAGTCGGAATTTTTGTGTGAAAATTTGAGGGTAGAGAGGCTTATAGATGTGAAAGGGATTCAGAGAATTTTTTGAAAAATTTTAATTTTTGAAGTTTTTATAAGCAAATATATTTTTAAGCAATCTTTTTTCAAAAACTCATTTTCTCTTAAAGTATTTGACGAAAGTTGATGAAATTTTTCTTGTAAGCATAGTGACATTAGAGCTTTGAAAAAAATATATTTTTTTTAATTTAGAATTTTTTTTTAAATTTAAACATTATAAATATTCAAGTTGCATTAAAAATATGTTCTCAATGACTGTTTCCATTTTGTTTATATTTTCGAAAACTGCATTTATTGAAGAAAATGTTTGTAAACAAATTTTTGTTAGATTTTTTCTGTTTATTACTTACAGCAACATTTGTCACTGCGCGCACCGCCTATGCGCGCAACGTGTTCACTAGAAAGCGCGTACAGGAGGAACTAATAATTGGCTCATATTTGCGACTTNCGTGTTCACTAGAAAGCGCGTACAGGAGGAACTAATAATTGGATCATATTTGCGACTTTTAACATTACCTTATATAATAATGATGGCATTTGTGGTATTTTTAAGGCATTTTTAGATTAAGCTTTGCATCGGAGGTATGTGTTAAAATAATCCCATTAATTAAATTTTTTTGGAGTTCACATACAACATTATTACCAGGGAACGGATTTTTAGGACCTAAGAACCTACAGAGAAAGGGAAACTGGGCAGGAAAAGGCACTAGAGGGCAAAATAAGACACTAAATAAAGACAAAACCGAAAAATATTAGAAAAATGCATTTATTTTAGAAATGTTTATTTTACAAGTAAAAAGAGAAAAGTTATGAACTACATAGTTTCATTATATCAAAAAATTTTAGTTTGAATCTTTTACTATTTCCTCTATTTGAGTTTTTAACTCGCAAAACTTTAATCCCTATAGTTGTAGTAACATTGAACCACAAGATGCATTTGAAGTTTTCTGGCAGCATTTTTATTAGATGTTCGCGAAGAAAAGCCTTAAATGTATTAAACGTGCGCTCGACGTGAGTTGATACAAGTGGCGCCCAATTTATATATGGAACGTTTAAAACTTTCATATCATCTGGAATAAGGGCTTTTTCCCTGCCCTTTACAACTAAATTTAGTAAAGGCGAATATCTTAAAAAAGGCAAAAAACGGCAAATTTAGATGAGTATATGTATATGGAATCAGGGAAAGCTAAATCGTGGTCATTCTTAATCGGATATACTCTATCTCTTTAGCAGAAAAAAGGCAATTTCCATAAAATCCGTTCCCTGATTTCGGAGTTATATATGCATAGGTGCACTTTTTATTGCATTTTTAAGATGTTTTTGAGGTTAGGTTAGGTTAGTCGGCCGCTGTGGTGTAGTGGTAAGCAGTGCGCGCTTCCACTCCGCAGCACTTGGGTTCAAACCCTGGTCAAAGCAACATCGCAAAAAAATATAGAAAAAAGGTTTTTTTTTTTTAACAGCGGTGGTCCCTCGGCAGGCAATGGCAAACCTCCGAGTGTTTTTCTGTCATGAAAAACAGCTTCTCATAAAGATACAATCGCCGCACTATAGGCAAAACACGAGTTTTTTTTCAAAATCGTAGATCTTCGGTTAGAAAAGAGATAATGGTATCATAATTTTTTTATCGTGAAGATAAATGATCATATAATGTAAGAAAACTATAGAGAAGTTACAACAACAATAACTTAACCCTCAAAATACAGTTCAAAATGTCACTTTTTTTTAAGTTTTGGAGTTTGGCTCCCATTCTATTTGAAAACTATATATTTAATACACCATGAGCACTGTTTCTGAAAGATTTCTCTTTATTTTGTCTTAAGACTCGATTTTTGGGACATCGAATGCTGTACCCGAGTGGCCAGATTGGAAAAAGAAAAGCTTCCTTTAAACTCTAATAACTCGTAAACTATCATCTTTCACAAAAAATTTATATAACAAAAATGGTTATAGGTACTGGTCGATATCTTTACAAAAGTGCAGCATTTAACCCTTTAATGCAGAGTCTGGCATATATGAGACGCTTTTTAACCCATAAGGCATAATAGTTCTCAATATGTTTTCAGCGTACTTTTTATTTATTTTTATTTTTTATTAATTTTTATTTTTATTTTTTTTTATTTTTATTTTTATTTTTATTTTTATTTTTATTTTTATTTATATTTTTTTTTATTTTTTTATTTTTTTATTATTATTTTGCTATGGAAAATTTTCTGCGATTAATATCTAGATGAGAAAAACACGTTCAAAAGCATATTGAGAACCTTTTTGCTCTGCCCTGAAAGGGTTAAAAGGCGTTTCACATATGACAGACTCTGCACTAAAGGGTTAAATGCTGCACTTTCGTAAAGATTTCGACCAGTATAACCATTTTTGTTATATACATTTTTTTGTGAGAGCTGATAGTTTACGAGTTATTAGAGTTTAAAGGAAGCTTTTCTTTTGCCAATCTGGCCACTCGGGTACAGCATCCAATGTCCCAAAAATCGAGTCTTAAGAAAAGATAAAGAGAAATCTTTCAGAAACAATGCTAATGGTGTATTAAGTATAGCGTTTTCTAGTGGAATGGGAGCCAAAATCCAAAATTTCAAAAAAAGTGACATTTGGAACGGTATTTTGAGGGTTAAGTTATTGTTGTTGTAACTTCTCTATAGTTTTCCTATATTATATTATGATTTATCTTCACGATAAAAACATTTTTGTTCCATTATCTCTTTTCTGAGCGAAGATCTACGATTTTGAAAAAACTCGTGTTTTGCCTATAGTGGGCCGTTCGGAGTCGGCGTAAAATTGGAGGTCCCTCCGCTTTGTGTGACAACAGCAAGGCGCACGCCACAAGTTGGAGGAGAAGCTCGGCCAAACACTAACATATGTGTAAGCGCCAATCTATTATTATTATTATGAGGTTAGGTTTATATGGGAGGTATGCTTTAAAATAAATCCATCTCGCCAATTTTTCGTTTTTTTCTTGATTTGTCTCCATAGACGTTGCACACGGAACATTGAGGTTATACGCCGACTCCTTCTATTTTTCCAAAAAAAATGTATACGGCTGTACCACCGTACGACGTTGAACACTTGAACAATCACAATAAAAAAATTATTAGACATAAAACTTCCATACTTATGGTTGGTTGACGGCGCTAGAACCATGCAGTTGCGTGTGAATTCCAAAAAATGGACTCGATAAGATTATTTTAACACATACCAAGCTTAACCTAAAAATGCCTTAAAAATATCACAAATGCCATCATTATTATAAATATAAGATTATGTTAAAAGTCGCTAATATGAGCTAATTGTTAGTTTCTCCTGTACGCGCTGTGAGAAATGTTGCTGTAAGTAGTAAACAGAAAAAATCTAATGAAATTTTTTTTACAAATATTTTTTTTTCAATAAATGCAATTTTCGAAAATATAAACAAAATGGAGAGCACTTATTGAGAACATATTTTTAATGCAACTTGAATATTTATAATGTTTAAATTTAAAGTTTTTTTTTCTAAAATATAAAAATATATTTTTTTAGGCTCCAGTGTCACTACACTTTCAAAAAAAAATCAACTTTCGTCAAATACTTTAAGAGAAAATGAGTTTTGAAAAAAGATTGCTTAAAAATATATTTGCTTATAAAAACTTTAAAAATTAAAATTTTTCAAAAAAATTCTCACAATCCCTTTCACATCTATAAACCTCTCTACCCACAAAATAACACGCAAAAATTCGAACTTGACTGAATCCGAGGTCCAGTTGAGAAATTTTCACCCACATACGTTTGAAGTTTCCGAAAAAAATGTCCTTACTATTTTATATTACATCGTCAAAGCAAAAAACAAAACCTACAAATAAGCAATATGTATGTTAGTATTTCAGCCGTCTTGTACTTATCGCAACAGTCTTACCAACTGCAACAATTCTTGTGGCAACATTGTTAATTCGCAATACTTATGGCAACTCTCTTTTCATATAATATTTATTTCGATTTGCATTGTGGTTGCCGCTGTGGCAGAGTAGTTAGAGGCGCGTACTACCACTGCTTGGGAGCCGGTGCGATCCCTGGTCTGAGCAACAGTTGAGTGTATTTCTGTCTAATTTGAGATATAACATCAAGACACACACCATAAATTGGAAGTGAAGGTCGGCCAAATACTTAGCAAAAGTGTAAGCGCTAAAATGTTAATATTATTGTTACGACGACCGTTCCTTTACTTTCAAAAAAGGGGGCAGATATTAATCGAGCGACGAGAGCGTTCAGTTCCAAACATGTGGAAAAATATACCTCTTTAACCATATGTTAATGAGATTCATAAAAATTTCAACGATATCTTAACAGCTTTTATTCCATATTTGTGGGTCTTATTATAAATTCCAATATTTCGGTCTCCAAATCGGTACCGAGTATCGATCAATACTAAAATGCACCGACTCAGCACATCACTATTGGTTGAACGTTTCTACGCAAATCTCGCGATTTTGTATGTGCATTGTGCACTCATACTCTTCTGATGACTCTTCAGACATAGAAACGCAGCATTCAGCAGAAAGCTCTGATAATACACAAATTCAGGAGACTAAGAAACCATTGAATCAATTCAAATAACAGATACTACTTAGTAAGGGACGATTCATAATACATGAATCTCTCATTAATTTTGGTAGAACTAGGCATATTATTGAATATGATACGCCCGAAAATTTAATGACCATTCTAAAAGAATTTTTACAATCAAATATTGTAACTGCAATACATTGTACACCGGAGGACCTATATGAAATTAAGGCTAAATTAAAAGAAACATTTACAAATAAATTTTTGTATGCAAAAAATTTTCCCATGGATATATTAAATAGAGAAGATCAGGGAATAATAATTGAGCAAACGCATAATAGAGCACATAGGAGTTACGAGGAAAATATGAAGCAAATTTCTACTTCATATTATTGACCTGAAATGCATAAACAATTTAAGCAATACATCAGAAATTGTGAAATTTGTAATAAAAATAAATATGATAGACATCCACAAAAAATACCAATAGGTGAGGTTCCCATACCTAAGGAGGAAGGAGAACAGGTTCACCTGGATATATTTTTTGCACAAAACTTAAAATTTATCACATGTATTGACGCATATTCCAAGTTTTTGGTTATTAATCAAATTGAAGATAAAATAAATTTGGAAGAAAAAGCGTTGGAAATATTACAAAGTTTTCCTAACGTAAAACGAATAACCATTGATAATGAACCAGGTTTCACTACAGTACAATTTAAAACTTTAATGCAAAGGTTGCAAATGAAATTTATTTTTGCAATCCAAATCATAGCACCACAAATGGTCAAATTGAAAGAGTACATTCAACAATAATTGAAATTTCACGATGCATGAAACAAGAGTATAGATTGATCAGTTTTTCAGAATCAATATATAGAGCAGTACATCAATATAATAAAACAATACATTCAGTAACTGGTAAAAAACCATTTGAAGTCCTTTATAACAAGATTTCTCATGATATATTACCATCAAAACTTTTATCAGCACAATCAAAGATGCTAGACAGACAAAATAAAAATAGAGTTCGCAAAATATATTTATGTGGTGAAATTATTTATGGAAAAATTAAAGGTGAAAGGAATAAACTGAAGCCTAGGTACAAGAAACAGGTAGTAAAAGAGGATTTAGGGAATAAGGTTAGAATTAACCAAAGAAACCGAATAGTGCATGAAGATAACATTAAATCTTGATTATATATTTTTAGAAAATGCTAATAATAATAATTCTGGCACTAATTGCTGAAACAATAACCGATATTGTAGACTATACAAGGGAAGATTAT